GCAGCTGTCGCCTTTAATAGATCGTTATTATGATGGTGGACGTCTCCCTGTGGTTCGTCTTCGAGACTGGTGTTGCCCAGTTAAAACTTTTGGAACTAAGGATGTACTGTGCATTCGTTGATATTCCTTGGCCCTACATTTCCTTGTATAAATTTGACGATAATTATGACAACTGAAAATAAAACAGAAGTATTTTCTCAATATGCGACTTGAATTATCATATACATATTAAGAATACATATTAGAAAGCGCATAGAATAATCTTTTCAACGATGCATAATACCTCGTGCAAAAGCCTTAGTTTAATTGAAAAATAGTGAAACTAATGAAAACTTTGAAAATTGCACTGTCGCGTTAGCTTATGACGAACTCCAAATTCGCTTCAGCAAAAACTGCTATTGATGCAAACAGGCAAAATGCTTGTACTTTCAGCGACTTCCGCCAACACAGCCAAATCGAATGTCAAAACAGCAGCCGAGACAGCGAAGAAATCAGCGAAGGCTATCAAAACTCCGACGAAACAGTTCTCATGCAGCGGTGATGCATCGGCGAAAAAATCTGCACAGCCTAAAGAAACAGCAAAGCTTGGAGAACCTGTCGAAATTGAAAAAGTAAAAGATCCTAAGCTGGCATCTCAAAAGAAGAATCCTAAACAAATTACGAAGGAAGACTCTAAAAAGAGCATCATGAGTAACGCGGCAGAGGAATCAAAATTTGAAACACCCACAGCTGCGGAGGGGAAGGCGAAAGCTGACGCAGTTGAAGCGCCTAAGCCGAAGGTGCTTTTTCTTAATAACGTGATTAACACATTTCTATCGTTGCTTTTCTAGATCCACTCACGGCAGTCCAGTAGCGCAAAGCTTTTGCCAAAAAGCGTTAATGCAAAGGCGGAGGAGAAGCAACAGCCTGCTTCAAAAGCAGTGAAACATGGTAAGTTTGAGCAAATCACATCTACAGGAGGTTACATCGATACCAGGATATGTGTACAAATTCATATTTCAAAAAGTTTGTTCGAAAGAAAACTTCAAATAGTTTTAGCACTATGTAACCATAAGTAAACTCTCACCAATCCATCGAATAATTGGTTGAAAATTGTGCGTGATCGCGTTTTATTATCTAATCATATGCAATATTTCAAGTACGCGAGTTGTCATAATATAGCCAACAAAGTTGATTTTTTAAGAAAAAATAATTTTAAACTGTAATTTAATTGTAACTCTTTGACATTTAGATTAAATCTTGGGTTTCAATTTCAGAATACGAAAGTATAGCAGCCTTGAAATATTTGGCTTACATGATCTTCACGGAGACTCAGATAAAACTCAAAAAAAGAGTAATTATTTAATTGCAGAGGAAGCCGTCACAGAAAATCCTACTCAAGCGGAGAAGGCGAATCCAACAAAATTAGGGCTAAAGCCTAGTTCGCAGAAGCCAGCTTTGAAAGCTACCTCCAAAACGGCCAAACGTAAGCTTTCTTCAGCAAGAGCCTTTTTTTAAAAAAACATTAAATGGTTGTTTAAGCAATAAGCGAAGATCACAAGCAGATGAAAATGTATTGAGATGATTTTAAGTGAAAATGACGTTGAATGACAAAAAAACTCCTTCCTAATCACGGTTGCATCACGGTACAATGGTAGTGGCATTAGGATTGGCATAAAGCGTGCAGTCATAGGCGCAAAGATATTTCTAACTATGTTAAAAACTTATTTTTTGGGCGTGTTTATGTGCCAAGCTCTATGACGACCATTTGATACCATATCCGTACCAATATCACGAAAATGCTTAACGACAGCGTACGACATTACAGCGTAATCCTAGCGAAGATCAGAGGTTAAAGCGATTATAATTATTATAATTCAATTGAAGCCTCTAAACGATACACTGGGGCCAAAGAGAAAATATGGTACTGCAGATAAAAAGTTGTCGATAGCAGTGATCGTTAGGGCACCCTCTAACTAGGGTTGAAACTACGTCCGTATTACATCACCGGCTTTAATCCACTTTCAATTCATCAGTTGCAGGCGATAATTACACAATGCTTTTACTATAACCAAGGGATGAGATAATACTCGTGCACAAATCTTTCCTAGGAAACGTTTTTTTCGGGATTTTGAAGCGATTGTTGCCTTATATACTTGCAAAGTAGTGCACCAGCGAGTTGATTGTTTTTCATCCAATATCGACCCTTTGGAAGATTTCAACTTTCGTCAGATCTCGGCAGCAGGTCTCCGGAGAGCAAGCTGGAATTCGTTTCTGTGAAAAAAGGCAAAAGGGAAATCGTATGGGGTTCGGAGAGAAGCCTGCAGTTCAATCTCAATTATGACCGCTTTTTCTATTTTCAAGAATGTTGAAGCTTCCCCCTCCCTCTTTCTAGCACGGATGTTCATGCAGCGGCCCGAGTATCTCCAACTTATTCAATACTCAATTCAGAAAATTCCGCACACACTTTTAGGCCGTTTAAAAGAACCTGCTCCAGCAAAGGTTCAACATTTTCAATGTGGGCGTTTGCGCGGGAAATTTAAAAAGTTGTGAAATTAGAACCCGTTTTTCTAAGCGAATAGGCAATGAACGGCCACCATAATTGGCGTGAAGATGCGCAAGAAGGAGTAGAGGAAGTGTTTGAAAAATCTTTGGAGTATTATGAGGATGAAAAAATTGCCGTACCTTTTTGTGTTTCAGGTTCAGTGTTTGCTAATCGGAGACCTACGGGAGACCTCAGGTCTCCGATTAGCAAACACTTTTTCGTTTCACATAATTTCATTCCTTATAGCAAACATTTTTTGTGCACCCCTTGACCCAACTTACAGCGCGATAAGCAAATCACGGCACTCCCTCCCTTGCTAGGGCCCTAAGTTGTTTTTCCTTAATGAGGAAAACGCGCTCCAAGTATACGGCACTGCAGTGCGTACTGATTGCACGCGTTTGTAAAAAATGCAAAGGGGGCTTCTTAATTTCCTGGGTTTTCAAACGGGTATTCGTTCTCCTAAGGGTGCAATCGGAGACCTCTTACCGAGGCCTGGCTTTCGTTGAATTTTTGGGAGAATTTTCAAATAATTTGTTAAAAGCGTAGAAGGCCACCAGATGAGGGAGAGGCAAATGCTACCGCATATACTTCCTGAAATAAACTATTTAGAAAACTCTAATGACCTGTTACGCCGAAACAAAGACCTCTGCAGCACTTAGACCAGATCTTTTAGTTGAAATCTTATGTTTTATGGGCGTTATAGACTTGTAACGAGGTGATTTTCATCAGGGTATTCTCGCTAAGGTGCTCTCTCATTGTGTGGCGTGCCATGAAATTTCCCATCAGGCTTTATCGGCTTATTTAAGCTCAAATGCAGGCTGTTCTGGGCAGATAATTCTTGAAAAATGTGTCATTTTCTCCGAAAACATTATTCTGTTTCATACTAGGGAGCAGTCTGTTCACAACAGGCAGCTACAACATATGCTCTCGAAATGTTTTCAGAAATTTTAGTGATTTTGAGCACTTGAGACCTCATTCAAATTTGCTTTAATCGAGATCATTATTGGTCCAGGCAGCTACTGAGAAGGATATAAAGTCCACGCAATGCTAACGAATTTCTGGATCAACCCTTTCGACGACGAGGTTATAACGTGGAATAATTTCATGGAAGTGAACCTTGTTAACATTACAGTTTTGTTAGTTTTGTTTGCAATGGTTCATGTAACTATTGGTTGCTCCTCACCATCATATGGGTCTATCCATTCTGTTAAAAATGGCGCATTACCACAACATGTGGTATCCATGCTAATTCTTGCTGTGTTGCCAACCAAGGCCAAGAGGGCACTATTATTTCCTTTAGAGGTCATCCATGCTTTTAAATATAGATAATAAGATGTTAGATTATCGAAGAAGTTTTCCATCATTTACCGTGTTAGTAACTAATGTAAGATCCATTTTTAGTTGATACGACCACAGCTGGAAAAATCGTGCTTTACTCCAAGCATTCGACTGCTCCTAGCAGACCTCAGCGGCAGGTCTCCGGAGGGCAAGCTGGAATTCGTTTTTGCGAAGAAAGCAAAGGG